CGGAGACTGTCCCCGAATGCAACTGCGCCGGCTTGTCTCACTAAGTCCGACCAGATGCCGGTGCCCATCGTTCTGGGTCACGGCGAGGTCCAAATTTTGGCATGCTGTTTCCGTGCGTCATGTTTGCGATTCCAGTCAAGGAGACGAGTGTTATGCAAGGCCAATCCGTGCTCTGGAGATTTCAACTCGTCGCATGCAGGACGAAGAGAATGGCGCTCGAGGCCGTGGCTCCTTTGCCTTGCGATCCTCAATTCAAGTTTTGGTCACATGTGTACTCGTCTATTCTATACTTGTATACTTTGTCAGCAGTTGCACGAGATGCGAAACATTCGGGAACCTCTGATTCGCAGGATCGACGCTGACACTTTGAGCCCTGATGCTGCTGGAAACTAGGCTTGTGTAAAAAAGCACGCCTCTTGTCAAGCCGCCACGTTTTGCTTGGGGATGCTTTCCATCAACATAGAAGCCAATGCATGGGAAGACCATGGAGGTTCAATTGCCGAGGTCGAATGTCTTTCTTGCGTTTGAAAGGTGCCCCCTCGGCTTCGCAGCATTGGCTTCGCAGCATTGGCTTTTCAGAGAACATGGCATATATCCGGTTCATGCCAAAGCACAGATCGGTGCGACGGAAGTAAAGACAGCCATGCGGCGTTGCTTCGCCAGAAGCCTGCTTGCATGGATTGGATTGCACTGCCAGGCCGGCATCAACAGATTCGTGAAATAACTTAGGCCTCGGCAAGCCCTGTTGCCAGGTCAGTTGCGTGCCTAGGGAATCGCCACTATTCGACCCAGAGCTGCACGTGTCTTTGGCTTATCTGCTGCGAGTCTCGTCTGTCACGAAGCGAACACCCTCTCCAATCCGTCAGCAGATGGGGTGACCAGTGACAAGCCTTGTGATCAGGCCAGACATGTCCAGCTCTGAGGCCACTTCCAGCACAGTGCTTGGCCTGAGAGCATTTGTAGCTTTCGCATCTTGGATTTTGCATTAGAGGCTGTCCCACAAGCAGATCGGCGAGAGTCGGAGAAGGCACCAGACTTGGTTGAGCAAGGGTCATCGAACACGAAAGGAAGCGGCACCCCGAAGACCCATGGTTGTGAGTTGTGAATGGAGTTGAGCTCCAAGGTGACATAGTGCAGGCCATGACAGGTCCAGCATCCGATGAAGCGCCCAGTGCATGTCGCAGTTTGTCCACCAGGGCTGCCACTGGACTTCGAGACTGAAGTTCGAACTTTGCGGCGAAGACAATTGCCACGAGTCCGAAATTCTGGCTTTGGACTTTCAGCGGAAGTCCTGGGATTTTTATGAGGCCATGATCTCGCAAACATGTGTTCTCATGGTGCCAAGTTGGGCAGGCTGAGCCTGAGTCCTTGCTTGCTCGTGTGCAGGGCAGAAGCACAGCACCACCATTGGAGGAGGCTGCTTTCATTATGTCTATGCCACCCGAGGAGACTTGTAGCAAAGTTCAGTGGCACGCAGGCATGTCTGGAACGGCTGCCAGCACAGCCATCAGCGTCAAACGCGAAATAGTGTCGTGCAAATCGGATGGCTGTGCAGCGAGTCTTTCAGTCCAGCCTGCAGCAGTGTTGGCATGGCTGCTGCTGGGCCAAGCTTGCAAGAGCATGTAGCGGCATCTACGAAAATTGGAGCATATACCCGTAATGCTCGCTGGCAGTCTGTGCCCGTAGGTTTTAATTGTAAACGCTTCGAACGGCAGATGGGGGGGGGAGGGTTTGGGTAGGGGGAGGGGAGAGTGAGGAGGAACACACCGAGATTGTGGTCAGGATAAGGATGGGTCACTGGGGAGGGGATTAAGACGAAGGAAGCAAGGGATCCTTGCGGGAACCTCTCACCGCTTCGGCGAACATGTTTTAACTTGATCTAGTCTTTGGCTGGCTTGCTTTTAGAAGTTCGTTTTTGGGTTGATTGGGGTAATCTTCCATCACCCTGCCATGCACAAGGCTCAAAAACAACCAATCGTGCATAGTAAATTTGCTATCCATGCGGAAGCGAGGCTTGAATAACACGACATGCGCAGCCAAGGAAATGCATGGTGCTTTCGAGCTTTGTCCGGGTATGGTGATCACCGGACTTCTGCTGGCTGCAGAAGCGATGTTGTTCTCGATGCCGCCGAGTGACCGCAATCCTTTGCAGATGGCGAAGAGCTACTTGCAGTTTCTGTGGCGAGGATGCACAAAAGCCAAGGTTTTTTGATAAAGCATGCGATGAGTTTTCCTGTGCAAGTAGTACGTGTCTGCTGCGGGCGTCTTTTCAATTTTCACAAGCAAGAGAATCTCTATCGTGTTTGAACTCAGGATAAGTCTTAAGGGCAGCCCGGGAGTCTGTGCACGTTCACAACGTCTTTGAAGTCGTGGTGTGAAAACTTTCGCTCAGACCAGCATGGTCAATGCAATTGTCGATCTTAGTGAGATCTGAGTGCACTTACACCATGGCTGTGTTGGGACTTGTGTGCGCACGTTGCAGCAAATCTGCAGGTGTGTCGAGTGGGTAAGTGTTGTGTGGCTGGGTGTAATCAATACCCGTAACTGGGCTTGGCGTGTGAAGACAAGACTTGTCTTGGTGCGACTTCTGCCTGTTTGCTCGAGCGAATATACCTGGCCAGTGTGTCAGGTTCAAGGAGGACGTGTGCGCCTCCCTAGATTGTCGTACTACCCTGGACTTGTAATCTGCCGTTTCCAAAACATGTAGAAGAGTGATGATTAGGGTCATGGGTGGGCCACAGTGCACTTTGCTTCAAGCAAAGGGGAAATCTTGCTGTTTCCTGCTCTAGCAGCCAGCTCTGATGCTGCCGCCTCGTTTGCCTGCAAGATGGAAGTTTGCCATCAATGAAGTCCTTAACCTTTACTGCAGCTCGGAAGACTGCTCCACCAGCCAAGGTTCGCTTCGAGCCGATGCTTGGTGTGGTCAGGTTTGCGGCCTTTGCCGTGCAGAGGGAATTGCCGTACTGCAGCCCAGGAGAAGAGTACGATACGCTGATCTCCATGTGGCCCGTTCTTCAGGGTCAACGGCGCGCTGAGGATGCCAACTCCAGGCTTTCAGCTGGACATCAACCTTCTGTTGATGTGGTATCGTGGTGAAAGGAGAGGCAGAAAGAGCTTCGAGGCAGAGATAGCCTTCTGCTCCTTCCCAGGTAATTGCTCGCTGTGGCACAACACTGCGATGGTTGTGGTCTTTGCCGCTGCCTTCCCAGGACAAGCGTGAGCAGAGCGTGTTTGTGTGCCTTCCCCATGCACTACAGATGCCTCACCGGAGTTTGTGCAGGCTCGTGTCTTTATATACAGCAAATGCGATGTCAAGGCAGAGGACCTACAAAAGCAGCTCGAGGGATCGTGGCTGCACTGGCTCGAGCAGATATTTCCGATGTCACTCGAAGTGTTTTTCCTGTGGGTTGCACAGGTATTGTTGGGCGAGTCGCCCAAGTCGTGGAGGTGCCGCTGACAGATATGGCCGGTTGGATGACAGGGGAGTGCACAGCATACCTTCGGCATTTACTCAGTGGTTTAGCGGGGAGCGGTCCAGTCAACGGTCTGGCGGACTATACGATTTTTCTTCATGACGATGCACCTCGACATCTGAAACAGGAGTTCTTGTCCATTGTCTTCAGGAGCATATCGTTGGGCACATACAATGTATCGTTTTTAAACTTGGCTCACGAGCGCTATGTCTCCGCTGTGACCCCTTGCTTGAAACAGTTGTACACGATGGTCATGGGGCGTCAGCTGGCCGGCCGCCTTTCTACGTATTGCTGCGGCCATTTCGTTGTGAAGTCGTCTCGCTTACACGAGATACCTTTGGAGCCACTTCGCCGGCTCTATGCAGCCGTGGAGGCTGGAACGTACACTGCTCAAGCCGGAGGACCTTGTGAGGCCGTTTCAATTCAGGGCCACAGGGTAGAATATTCTAGAATTATCGCCATACAACCTCTGTGCGGAACTCATAGCTAGTAATTTGGGTTTGGCATCTAGACCATTGTCATTGTCAGGTTGCCAACATGCCCTGCTACGTTGTGGAGTATCTGTGGCATGCAGTCCATGGGGAGCCAGATGAGTTGCCGTGGCGATCTGAAGATATTCGCTTGCCGCTAGCTCTCCGATACGAGGGTGGCAGAGAGACTCGTCCCTTGTAACTGAATCATCACCTCCCGAGTGTGACAGGGCACGGCCCCATGTTGCATGAAACAATGCGACATGAAATGCCGAGGCTTGCCGTCTCCATTGCGGTTCTCCCAGTACATGAAACTTCAGTCGATATAGTGGCAGCTAATGCTGGCAGAAATGACCGTGACCAGCAAGCTTCGCGAGCACCTCGTGGCGTGGAGTGTTGCCCTGCCTCTGTGTGCGTTTCGGGCAGCCTAGACAGGTGCATCAGCAGCCATGCGACGGACAATGTTAACGCTTCATGTGGCCTCGAACGTTCACTTTGGAAGTCGCCGTCAGCACCATCAGCATCGTGGGCATAGACATTATCATCGTCGTCATCCGCATCACCATCTTCGTTGTCATCCTGTCGCCATTGTAGTCGTCGTCTTCGTCACCAGCATCATCATCGTCATCATCGTCATGATCATGATGGTGATGATGATGATCATCATCAGTACTTGTAGCATTGTCATCATTGTTCATCAGTGTCTTCGTCGCCCTCTCGGTCAGTGTCACCGTCAGTTGCTACTGGTAGCAGTATAGCAGCATTATCACGCTGACCTTTGCCAGCTGCAATCAGCCAGTGATGGCAGCTATCATTCACTTTGTGATGGTGCGAGGGACGTTTGACCGTAGAAAGACCATGACGGTTCGATTCCCATTGCTCAGCTTGTTGGTTTGCACTATCGCCAGGATGCAAGAAGGGCACACATGCAACTTCAACATTTTCACCCTATCGTGCCATCTAGGGAACCTGCTGGAGTTCAAAAGGCCTAGTCAGTTCTACCCCTATCCTTCAAGGCTCAAGCAGCCAAATTAGTTTTGGAGGGGCTTTCGCCGGCATGGCTGAAGAACAGGACTTCGGTGGGACTGGGCCGAATCGTCCTGACACTCATCGATGTATTTCGAAACGCCGAGGCAATTTCTTAAAGTTTTGTTCTACTCGACATGTCAGGGCGGTATTGCTCACATGGCCGCAAAATTTGCGATGACTTTGAGCTAGAGCCCTGCAATTGGATGTCTTGTTGAATGAGGGGGCAGAGTCCGACACACGTCTGAAGAGTCGGAGGAAAACGAGCTCGTCCCCGAAGAGGAGGTTACCTCCATCCCAGGTCCTGTGTCGGTGCAGCTCCTATGTGACGTGAGCTGCAGGGTTTGCTTGGTGGCCGCAGGCTGGGCTCCCACGGTGTCCTTGCAGGTGCAGGACACAGCAAAGTCAGAATTTGATCGAGTTAAGATCGGGACAAGTAGTGAACAGCTTGCTTTCAAGCCTTTGGGTGTGCAGAAAGAGGACATCCGAACCGGAGAAGAGGAAGAGGAAGAAGTCTATTCGCAGCGTTCGAAGCTGTGCGCGTAGTCATGTAATGTACGGCTGCGCAGCAAGACATTCCAACATGACAGGTTGAGAGTGAGCCGATCGAAACCAGGTACCGCTTCAAAGATGGAGACTGGAAGGAGAGAGGCCTTGGGGACTCGAAGCTGTTGAGACACAAGGTCTTCCCGCCTCTGTTTGTGCTTACGGGCTGGGTTCATTGGGTGTTGTGTTCGCTGTCTTCGGAGCTGTGCCTTCACGCAGGTTTCAGGAAAAGTTCGTTACATGATGCGACAAGAGAAGACTGGCAAAATTGCTCGATGCTCGGCCATTCAAAGCTGTCCGGATGTGTCTTTCGTCTGGCCGCTGTGCGAGGTGGCAAACCATTTTGTCTTCGAGCACCAGCTATATTGCGTTCTTGCAAATCAAAACCAGAGTTTCAGACTCTGCAGATGTCATGGCAACTTGCCCAGCGCATCAGAGCACACGACTGCTATCTGTGCTAAGGTGACAAGATTCTGATGTGGACTGCGTTGGACTATGCCGAGGACACGTAGGATGCTGTCTGTCTACTTCCCAGGTTGCCTTACTCTTATTTGTGGTTGTCTGCAGGATGAACAGCATGTGGAACAATTCGCATTGAAATTCAAGGATAAGGAGCTGGCTGAAACGCAGGGTGCCAAAACACCGAGCCACGTAGGAGCTAGAAGATGGCACGAGGCAAACTCAGATCGCTTTGACTCACTGAGGTTCCGAACTGCCTTTGACAGAGCGAAAGTTGGCCAAATTTCCGGCAGTCCCAAGGCAACCCGAAAATCAGTAGTCGGAGGAGTGTGAAATGTATGAGGATGGCATAGCAGGGCGTGGTGTGCATGGAAGTGCCTGTTCACACAATCAGGGTCGTCATGCATGTTGACATGTCCTTTTCGCCTAGGTGTGTCTATCCCTTGGATTACTTTGGTCATGTTGGCATGTGCTAGAAACCTTTCGTTGCAACTGGATGTCCATTTATGGTCGCCACCGATGTCTATGCTGTTGAGGACGGGCTTCATGCTGCAACACCCTGATCTTTGGGCTCAGCACAACTAAACGGTAACTCTTGCATGCATGTTCTGGGTTGGTGGTGGCTTGGCATTTCCTGACTAGTGCCGATACTGCACAAGACTATTTCTGACTTCTGCTGCGAGTACAGGCATCGTTGTAGTCACTTCGTAGTCGTCGTGTAGCAGATCACGTAGCGATTGTATTGCTCTTCTCAGTAGTGGCAGTGGTAGCAGCAGCAGCAGCAGCAGCAGCAGCAGGAGGAGCCGTCGTAGCCGTCGTAGCCGTCGTAGTCGTCGTAGTAGTCGTCGTCGTCGTCGAAGCAGTAGAAGTGGGAGTAGGAATAGCAGCGGGCTTAGCAGTAGCATTCTGGGAGTAGCAGTAGGAGTAGGAGGAGGAGTAGTAGGAGGAGTTGGAGGAGTGGTAGTGGGTGTGGGTGTGGTAACGGTAATGGCAGTGGTAGTGGTAGTGGCAGTGGTAGTGGTAGTGGTGGTAGTGGTCGGGATATCCGTCGTCGTGGTGGTAGTGTTGGTGGATGTTGCTAATCCAAATGCAAACGTAATGTTCTTGGGGCGAGGTCGGGGACTATGCTTGGAGTTTGTTTCAGTCCGTTGGTTGACAGTATGAGTTCCTCGATGGGGTCCCTATGCCCTCGCACTTTGGCAATTCGCTTCGAATATGCCCCCGACAGGCAAAATTTGGTCGATTGTTTTCATTTTGCAATCCTTGATTAGGGGGCAGGTTGCGATTGTGGATCGAGACTTGCAATGCCTCGCAGACCTTTGAGTACTCTGTGAGCTCGCCTCACAAAGTGTGTGTGTGTGTGTGTTTTTTTTTTTCCCGAGCCTGCCGCAGCGCGTCATGGACGGCGGTCGCTCTTGAGGTTTCGAGTTTGCGTCAGCCTGGATTCTATACTCCTGAATCCTGAACCCAGAAAGGCATCTTTCAACAACGAAGTGAGCAGCAAATACCTAGAAAAACACGACTTCAGTTGACTAGGCTGATGGGCCTGGACCACGGCCGAGCGAGCCGCACAGCGAGCCGCACAGCGAGCCGCACAGCGAGCCCCATGCCAGCCCCACGCCGCAAGCACATGCCGCTGCAGAGGGGGGCGAGGCAAGTCTGCAAAAGTGGTGCAGCGACTTCCTTGGTCCACGTGCAGCATCAGCATGAGGATGATCTGGTGCCGGAAGAAGAGGTCACCGTTGTGCCAGGCCGGCGTGCGCAGTTCTTGAGCTACGATACCGTTTTCATTTGTCAACCCAACACCAAGAAAGACGGCAGATCTGAAACTATCTGGGAATTCATCCTCAGCTGCTCTTTGACTCTTTTGTAGGCTGGGCTCCGACTGTGACGTTGCAACCCCAGGACCCGATAGTGGAAGAGTGCAGGATCTGCAATGTTTGCTTCACACCCAACGCAATTGCGGGCCAGCCGGGTTTGCTTCGGCCTGCGCTCGCACGCGGCATGGGCTTTGACGTGCAGTGGCATGTCGAGGCTTCCAGCCTGGCAGGAGATTCGCACCGGCGAGGAAGATGAAGACGAAATTTATTCTCAAAGATCGAAGCTGTGCCCCGTGTGCAAATGTGGAGGCTTTTGCGGCAGGATCCAATGTAATGATTCTTCCGACACTGATTTGCCGAGGTATCGTTTCAAAGACAGCGATTGGAAGGAAAGAGGGCTTGGTGATTCCAAGCTTCTTCGGAACAGGGCGGGCCCCGACAGTTGCTCATTGTGTCCATGCTTTCGTGATTCGGAACTCTTTTGTAGCTCATTGAGTAGTTTCGCCCAATCGTTCTACTTCATTCTGCCATCGACACCTTCCAGGTAACAGGCAAAGTTCGGTATATGATGCGGCAAGAGAAGACCGGCAAGATTGTGCGATGCTAAGCATTTCACAGAAGTCGATGCGAGGGATGAGCATGCAATGAGGTCGCCAACCATTATCTAATCGCCTACCCTCCGTACTGTGAGCTCGCGCCGAATGCAGGGAGTTCGGCGCCCAGAAAAGTTGATGAGCACGTGCGACGTACTGAGTACGTCGTTTTCGCGTCACATCGTGTTGGCTGTTTGCTGCTCCTCCTTCGAGTTGTGGTCTGAGGTGACAAAATCTGGACATGGACGACCATAGATTGCGCGGAGGCTGGCATCGGGCTCAAGCTGTCCAGTAGATTTCCTGCGTCTGTGACAGGATGAACAAAAGGTGGAGCAGTTTTCTCTCAGATTCAAAGATGCAGATCTTGCACAGCAGCTGGCTGCCTACCTGCTGACTGAAGGAAATATTGGTTTCGCGTGGAATCGCAACTGAGGTTTAAATCGGCGTTCAACAGCGCAAGAGCAGAGATGGCCGAGGTGTGAGCAGAAAGATTGTGAGCTTTGCGAACAGGTCTTGAGTAAAGAACGGCTCCGGTGTGTGTCGAACAGGTACACTCGGCATAGCAGTGTATAGGCCTTAGTATAGGCCTTCCATAGAACAGTTGAGATGGCCTTTTGCATTCGCGGTTTGTGGAGTTGACCAAACCTGAGCATTACTCAGATCAAGTTCACCAGTGGTGTGAAACTAATCTGTCTCACGATGGTCCAAAACCAGCTACCATTCCCTAACATCTCGACACTTGGGGACACCTGCGTCATTTTCAGCTTGGTGCCATGCCACCACATGTAGTTGTTCAGATTTTGTTGCAATGGGGTTGTTGGTCTGGGCATCATGCGTAGGAAGCGAGGCATGCAGTCAATCAGAACATCAGTCAATCCTGTTAGGCCCGGGAAAACTTCTCAGCGCAGGTCTACACGCCCGAGCCGAAAACAAACGATTCTGAAGCTGCAGCTGCTGATGCAGCTGCCGTCGGCGTCTTCAGCCTTAAATCGAGCTTTTGTGCATGTGCGAAGTGCATTCGAACAGTTCGGACACCTGACGGGATTTGGCAGGCAGCAACAGCGCAAGGAGCTCGTTTCGGATCGTTCTCGGACTAGAATTTTCCGTATTTAAGGGGCTGCGCCCAGAGTCGGGCAACGCAGGCACGTTTCAGGGCGACCATCCCAAACCGCGAGAAGCCTAGGACCAGACTTCTGAACCCGACCCAAAACCCTTAAACCCTACACCCTAGAGCCTTGCCTGCCTGGTGCGAGTGTGAGAGTCCAAACTCTAAACTCTAAACCGTAAAAGCAGACGGATTTGTAGCTCCACCGCAAACTGCTGGCATTCGTTCATTCACGCATTCCTTATTCATTCATTCGTTCATTCATTCATTAAATCATTCAATTAACCAATCAATCAATCAATCATTCAATCATTCGTTCATTCACTCATTCATT